CTAAAACCTTTATCTCATAATATTTCAGGGTCTGCCACATGAAGAAAGGAAATGACACATTTGTGTGTTGAAAACCTTTCTTAACAATGTCTTTCAATATCATGCTCATCAACGCAGAGGCTTGCAAAATCTAAATCTGTTGGATAACTCATTCCTCTTCCTATCTTGGCTGCTAAAAAAGAAAAAGAGAAGTGAAAAGGAAAAGAAACAAGGGTTGTTGAAACAACACACAGAATTCATGGCAGATTGATCTTTTCTTTTTGGGGGACTTATGTATGCCTTGTCTAACATTCATTAATTACCATTATTTCTTCTTTCGTATTATATAATGTTGGGGGGAAAATCCATGTTCAAGTGATTTGTATTTTTTCATCCTTTTCCCTTATAACTTTATCTGTAGCCTCAAACACAAAACACACAAGGAAAGGATATAATGCCTAGTTAGTAAAAGTAATGATCTAATAATGCACATGTTGGCTCTCTCTTTACGGATATTAGCATTATTTATCTTCTTGGCACCTAAGAAGTTGTTTATCTCCCCAGAAGTGTAGTGGAGGGAAGGGGTCGCAGGCATGGGGTCAGAGGAACAATGACTCACATAAAAAAAAAAAAAATTCAACATTACATTACTGAGCTAACATTAATGTAACAACTGATACTTCTAGGAGAAGGCAATTAGTTTATATCTCATAGGTGCTTCTTGGTGCTATAAATAGAAAAGGTCATAGTTTCTACAAAAAGATGGCCAAAATTGCCACATGCACCATCTCTCAGAAGACAATATTCCTAGAAGAAAGAATGCAGAATGGTGCACTGTGTTTGAGAGAGACAAGATAACCAGGTAACCATATCTCACAGCCCTTGTTAAGGTAACCACTAAAATGCTAATATAATAGTAATACAGGCATTAAAGCAAGCTGCAAACGTTCTAACCAGGCTGCTTTAAAACAAGGTAGAATCACAAGTTGATGCAGCCTGGACCAACATGAAAGCTACTCGCCATTTCTTAGCCACAGTAGTTTAAGTGGTTTTGAATGTCCTCAAGTTCTCAGTAAAGAAGAACTGAAGACTAAGAACAGAACTTACCCTATTTCCTTTAGAATTACTTGTATCTACATGTTGTTTAAGAATACAATCCTTTGGGGGTTTTTACAAAGTCTGGCATTTAAGAACCCCTTCATATATTATCAAATTGGATACTCCTATCAATACTATGTGATTAGAAAAGTCAGATTCTAGGAATAACAAGCTGAGATATCGAGTTTTCAAAATTCTATCCTAATGACTTTTCTTTTTGTCAGAATGAGCTCCCTTTCTAGTATGTCTCTATAATATTGTTCTGTATATGTCTGTTCTTCCACTCTGCTAATCAGTTCTCTTCTTGGTGACTGCCACATTCTTCATCTAATCTAATATATGCTATATATATTTATTATATACAGTTATGTATAGTTTTATATGTATGATAATGTATTGTGCAACATGGTATTACCTATTAGGCCTTACTCTGTGTAAGAACATCTTACCAAGGAACCACATAGAAAATGTTTAGTTCAAGCCAATGATTAATTGAAAGAACAAAAGCAATGTCTAAGGGATTGGGGCTTTACATTTGTCATTTCATTTATTTCACAGCAGCTTTCCCAGGTCGTTTTCCTGATTAAGCAATTAATGCATAGAAATAATAAGTAAATTTCTCAAAATCAGAGCTGGTATTCAAACTCATTCTGATTTCAAAATTTGGCAAAATATGTATATATATTTTCTCAATATGAGGTAAGTGGATGTATTATCAGGGATCTATGAATTTGCCATCAGAAATGTTATATATAAAACTAACAACAAACCTGGGCACATTCTTGATCATCTGCATAATCAATCACCTTGCTAACAGTTAATGTGATTACATCCCAATGACTATTTTTGTTGTTGGATATATGTGTCTAGGGGAAAGGTCATCTTGTTCCTTCTGCCTTCCAATCCAACTTGATAGGGAAAAAGAAAAAGAAAAGAAATAGTCAAGAAACACTTGTGAAAGTCACAATGCAGTGACGTGGGCCCACTAAAAGACTGAGATTTAATCAAAGAACTGAATGTTTCTTATATGCGTTTGTCAATACCTTGTATGTAGTGCTTCAGTACTCAGAGAAGAACAACCAAGGAACATTCTATCATCTTTTTCTGAGTCACTGCCAACACTTATATATGGAAGTACTTTACGAAAGAACTGAATGTTTCCTAGGAGGGTTAGGCAATACGTTGCATGTAGTCCTTGAGTTCTCAGAGAAGAACAAGTCTATAACCAAGGGACAGTCTATCTCAGCATAAGTCACTCAAAACAGTTATAATATAGAACTTCTTTACGAAAGAACTTAATGTTTCTTACATGCGTTTGTCAATACCTTGTACATGGTGCTTCAGTTCTCAGAGAACAACAACAACATAGCAAGGAACTTTCTATCTTCTTTGTCCAAGTCACTCTAAACATTTATATACTGAAGTTCTTTATGAAAGAACTGTTTCTTATATGCGTTTGTCAATACCTTGTTAATAGTGCTTCAGTTCTCAGATAGAACAACCATATAAGCAAGGAACATTCTATCATCTTTTTCTGAGTCACTGTGAACACTTAATATATGGAAGTACTTTACGAAAGAACTGAATGTTTCTTACATGTGGCTGTCAACACTTTGTACATAGTGCTTAGTGCTTCTGTTTTCAGAGAACAACTGTATAAGCAAGGAACATTCTATCTTCTTTGTCTGAGTCACTGTAAACACTTATATATGGAAGATCTTTCCGAAAGAACTGAATGTTTCTTATATGCGTTTGTCAGTGCCTTGTGCATAGTGCTTCAGTTCTCACAGGAGAACAAGTATATGAGCAGGGAACATTCTATCTTCCTTGTCGGAGTCACAGTAAGCACTTACATATGGAAGTTCTTTAGGAAAAAACTGAATGCTTCATATATGTGTTTGTGAATACCTTGTACACAGTGCTTCTGTTCTCAGAGAAGAACAACCATATAAGCAAGAAACATTCCATCTTCTTTGTCTCTGTCAACACTTACATATGGAAGTTCTTATGAATGAACTGAATGTTTCTTATATGCGTTTGTCAATACTTTGTATACAGTGCTTCAGTTTTCAGAGAACAACCATATAAGCAAAGAACACTCTATCATCTCTGTCTGAGTCACTGTCAACAGTTATATAGAGAAGTTCTTTACCAAAGAACGGATGTTTACTATATGCGTTTGTCACTACCTTGTATAGTGCTTCTGTTCTCAGAGAAGATCAACCATATAAGCAAGGAGCATTCTCTCATCTTTTTCTGAGTCACTGTCAACACTTACATATGGAAGTACTTTACGAAAGAAAGTACTGAATGTTTCCTATGAGGGTTAGGCAATACATTGTGTACGGTGCTTCACTTCTCAGACAAGAACAAGTGTATAGGCAAGGAACATTCTCTTTGTATAAGTCACTGTAAACAGTTATATGTGGAACTTCTTTATGAAAGAACTGAATGTTTCTTACATGAGATTGTCAATACTTTGTACATAGTGCTTCTGTTCTCTGAGAAGAACAACCACATAAGCAAGGGACATTCTATCATCTTTTTCTTAGTTACTGTCAGCACATATATGGTAGTACTTTATCAAATAACTGAAGGTTTCTCATGAGGGTTAGCCAGTACGTCGTATATAGCCCTTCAGTTCTCAGAGAAGAACAAGTGTATAAGGAAAGAACATTCTATCTCCTTTGTATAAGTCACTGTTAACAGTTTTATATGGAAGTTCTTTATGAAAGAACTGAATGTTTCTTACATGCGATTGTCAGTACCTTGTACACAGTGCTTCTGTTTTCAGAGAACAACCATATAAGCAAGGAACATTCTATCTTCTTTGTCCAATCACTGTAAACACTTATATACTGAAGTTCTTTATGAAAGAACTGATTCTTTCTCATATGTGTTTGTCAATACATTGTTCACAGTACTTAAGTTCTCAGAGAAGAACAACCATATGTGCAAGGAAAATTCTATTTTCTTTGTCTGAGTCACTGTCAACACTGCTATATAGAAGTTCTTTATGAAAGAACTGAATGTTTCTTGTATGCATTTGTGAATACCTTGTATAAAGTCCTTCAGTTCTCAGAAAAGAGCAACACATCATAGAATCCTCAATGTTTTCTGGAAACCAAATATTTTTGTATTTTTATAATAATTCACTCATTATTACACACAAGATTTTTATTTGAATAGTATAGAAGAATCATGCCTTTGGAACTTACAGTGTGACGTCAGGCAAGTTACTGGTTAGGTAGGGATAAGGAGGGAGAGGAGCGGATGGCCCTAGGAGATGCTTTGTCTACAGTAAGAGGAAAAAATTGACCAGAGGGGGCTTCAAGAAGGAACAGATGCCATAACAAGAGGGTTTCCAAGGACTGAACAGATAGATGTTTGGTCTATGATGGGCGTCTCCCAGGACTGACCAACCACAAAGAGGTAGAGAAACCACAAATTGGAGATATGGCCACAAGGGGGTCTTTGGAGCATGCATAAAAGTAAAGTAGACAGTGTCCTCAAGTGATCTACCCTCATTAGCATAGTAAAAATCACACCTATCCACACAAGGATAGTTTACTAATGCCATGGCAGCCCTCAGAAATTACCCTATAAGGTCAGGAAAGGGGAAGGTTCCCGGTTCTGGAAATTCTCCACTCCTTTCCCAGAAAATTCATGAATATTACGCCCCCAGCTTAAGACATTATTAGGGATAGGCATAAAAGGACAGACCCTAACCCTGGGGGGCTTCTGTTCCTTATCATAGCAGTGTGCTCTCTACCAACTTTGAGAGTGTACTATACTTTCTATACTCTGTCTTTAAACTCAGGGTTATCTCTACTTGCAGAGATAGACTCATTCCTTCTTTGGAATGTACTTTTGTTATGCAATAAAGGCTGCTTCTGTGAATTGCTTTGTGCTTGTGATTGCTTCCTCTTACTGGCCCTGCTTGTGATTCTTCCAAGAAAGGAGTCAAAGAACCAAGGAACATACAAATCCGATACCTGATCTCAAACCTTACTCAAGACCTCAAGATATTACTTAAGCTCTGTTTTTCATCATTAAAGGACCTATTAGAAAAAGGACCTATTCTAAGAAGGACCCATTCTAAAAAAAGACCTATTAGAATTGAGTAAGTTCATATTGTTAAAACATGTATAATAGCACTTTACATCCAGTAGTCCCTGTAAAAGTGTATTGTTAAATCCTAAATAGTAAATTAAAATAGTAAAATTTGAAATTATAAAACAAACATTAAATCCTCTTCATTAATATTTTGTTTCTAAAAGAGCAATTCATTTCTTAGAAAATATTAACCCATCAACAAGATTTTTTCATCTTCAGTAACTGATTATTTAAGAATAGCTTTAGCATGCTATTTTACCCAATGAATACATTTGGAGAGTTCACTTTGATATAAGATGGGTAGTTACATTTTCTATTTTCTTATTTATTTGTCTCCCAATAGAATTTTTTTTGTCCTTCACAATTTAGCAATTTAAATCGGTAGTTTAAATCTTATAATAGTTGGAAATATTCTTATTATGTGTATCATCATGATTGATTTGCTTATGAATTCTAGTATTATGACATCATAGTAAAAATCACAGATTTGAGAGCCAAGCAATCAGGCCTCAAATCTTGGATGGATTACTTATCAACTATGTGACATTGGGTAAGTCATTTAACCTCACTGTGCCTCAATTTTCCTCATCTGTAAAACAATGATGACAGAGTAAGCTATTTTATAGGTTTGTTGTGAAAATTAAATGAGTTTATAGTTGTACTTTCCCATAGTCAGTAATCATAAGTGTTAATTATCATTATTGGTATAGTTATAATAATTCTTGTTGTGATGTCATATTTTAATTTTGGTATCTATTTCTGGGTCTTTGATGTGTATATATGCTGTATATTTTGGTAGATATTGATTTCTTTGACATTGTCTATATTTCAAAAATATATTTACTAAAGATTTATTACTACTTTACCAACTTGATAGATATGTGAATTAAATATATTGAATAAATATAAAAATAAAACACTTCTGTGTTTAGGATTAAAATCTAGAAGGGACCTGTGGAGAACACTGCTATTAATAATACTTACCAGTAGTAGGTCCTTCTTTCTTTTCTGGGTGGAAATCACAATTTCTAACCCACTTGTGGGTCCATGCGACCATTCTGATCAATAAAATATGAATAGAAGTAAACTGAGTCACTTTTGGGTCAAGGCAATCAACAGTTCTAGTTCAGGTAGGAAGGAACACTAAAATCATACAATTATAAAACATGTTCAACATTGAATTATACATTGCAAAATAAACATATCAAAAAGAATATGCCATAACATGTAAAAATAACATTTAAATTAATATTAAAAAGTACTATTTCTTAGAATGATAATGTCTCATTTTAAATAAAATAGAACACCTTGAAATTTTAGAGAATTTTAGAAAATGTAATTAAGAATAATTTATAAAATTCAAATAAAATAAGTCCTATAGTTCTCTTAGAAATGTTTTTAAATACCTTTAAAATGAAATCAACTTTAAGATATTCATAGATTCTATGAAAAGAATGACCTTTTGTTCATAAATCTCATGCACTCAAATCGTATTTTCTGTTATTTACTGAAAACAAAAGGAAAATTGTGGAAATGTTATATGCATCTGTCATGGGATTTAATAAATGTTAAACTGATAAATGTTAATTAAAGACAAAAGATAGTGTATGTAGATTGTTTTCACTATGGATTCTTAATTTTTATTAAGTATTTTGTAAAAACCACCTCAGCATTACTGTTACAAATGAGAACTTTTATTTCAGAGAAGAAAAACACGTATTTCTTTAATTCCTAGAGTTACTAGGTGACCTTGGTGGGTTCAAATCCAAGCCTAACCCCAGGATTTTCACTGTCATTTAGGTATTTTAAGTTTCATGAGGGTAGGGACTGGACCTTGGAATTTCCTATCTGTGTTTCACTTTTGAGCAGTAATACATCTGGAAAGTATTAGATGGAAGTAACCATTATCTGACCTTAGGTTAAAAGAACAGTGATCTAAACAATTAGCATACATTTATTGGTTTCCAGATATTAATGACATCCATTAGCTGATTTATTCATGCATGTGGTCATGATGGTGTTCATTTAACAATGGCTGTGAGGATCAAATCAAATCAGAAAACATATACAGGCCCTTTGTAAATTTAAATAGTACACAAAAATGTATGTTATAATTTTAACTATTTCTATGTAACTAACAAATATAATGGTTATTGCCAGGTTAGTTGACACAGGGAACATTATGAAGAGGTCATTGGCAATCTGGTCAGAGCAAAACATGATCCATTATTGACTCTTATATAATAGGTAGAATTTCTATAATTGAGAATAGAATGAAAGCAGAAAAGTAAAGATACAAAGATAGCGAGTGAGAGAATATTTGATTTAAAAATGAAGTTGTGAAAAAAAATGTAATAATTAAATTTTAAAATACTGGTATGGAGAATCCAGGAAAAAATCATCAAAAATGTTAGGAGGAAAATAAAAATTTTCAAAGATGTAGTGCTTGCTGTGAAGATGTCTGACATTGATTCTGTAGCAAGCTAAGTAATCATGATTCTTTGTTATTCACCAAAAACATTTTCTAGATGCATAAAAACATCACCAGTTAATACTTTATCACTGTGGAATCTATAGTATATTTGAAAAAACACATTCTAAATGAAGAAAAGAATGAATTAAATATCTTATTTAAATTATACAATTTTAAAAATAAATTTTGATTAAATAATTATTTGATAATATTTTAATACTAAAATACCAAACTCTGATGCTGAGAATAAAATACCAGCTAGAGCTAGTGAGTCTTCAAGTTGAGAGAATTTCAATGTTAATAAATCAGGAGGTAAGAAAAAGGTGTATCATTACAATGAGGTAGTATCTCAGGATTGAAGCTAGTGAACCATTAGTCTTTCTACAAAATAGAATATTCTTACTATTTTAAATTTCTACTGAACATCAACCAGCATATTTTAATATTCATAAAACTGTTAGGTAAATATTTTTGAGCACTTTCCTATGTTGAATGCAAACTGAATCAAATCATATTAAATTTTATGTTATATCATAAGCCATGAGTAGAGCTTTGAAATATGAGAATATATTTTTTATTCTTGTTTGATATTAAAATATAGAAATAAAATATGTTAAGAAAAGTATTTTAACAGCTAATTTAATTTTTTCCTGCAATCCATTTTTTAACAATATTGATTCCTTCTGTGTAAGTAATCTCGAATCTTAATAGAATTGATTGTAAATCTAACAAGCTGAAAAATTGCTGACTTTGAACTTGGGAGTAATAACATGACTAAAGTTAATAGCTGTGTATTTTACCATTGATATAATGGTGCGTCATCTATCAGAAATAAATACAAAGTGTCTTAAGTCAGAATGTGAATAGTAACTAGATTTGGCATGCACACCAATCTAAGCATATGCATGAATAACTGATGAACACAATTGAAAGATCCATAAATAAAACATCTATGTAATACTGATACTATATTAAACAAATTTTCTTTTTATCCAAGTGGGACAAAGAAATGTTTTGCAATAATTCTAAATTAGTAGCATAACAATCACCATTGTTTAAGATACAGAAACTTCAATTTTGGAATAAATAGTAAAATGAATACTTTTTCATAATTCAACATAAAATAAATAGGTCAACTCAAGATTAGTTATCTATACCTGCAACTAGTCTTAAACACAAATAATCCATCTGTCCTCTTACTGTAATACCATATTTCATGTTTTCATTTAATTTTGAAAGTGATAAAGACTTTAAATTGCTTCTTTCACATTTCACTAATGCCTTTCAAATATTTGGGACACCTATGTGCAACTTAACAACAATTTGCATGTGATTTACTCTAATTTGGTAATAACTTTTATAAATAATTTTACTGTTATGATTAAAAAGATCACAATTCATGTGTCCACATTCTACATATGAATGAGTAAAGTTTTAAAATATAATTCTATAATATTTCAGAGGACGGATCTTCATTTAAAAATGTTAGACAGACAACATGGGACATACCTTAGTATCGGGTAGTTGGAATTGAGAATGAATGAATGAGTCAAAAGTTTACCCAAGACCAATCACAAGTTCTTTTACCTTTGTAGCAGCTGTTGGTCTTTTAACTTTCTCCAATTTATTTAATATTAGTCTCTACCATTCCTGACCATCCAGGAAACAAATTTTAACAGTTAGAACTACTTGATCACTCGCAATTTCAACCAATTTTCCTTTATTTTTCCTTTATCTTTTGAGTGTCTGCCCTTCAAATCTCCAATTTTATTCAAACCTTTGATGTAAGTTCTGGGCTCCTATTCTAGGGCCAGTGAAGGACACACAGATGTCTCAGGGGACTGCACTACAAATTCATTATTTCCAATTTGACTGAGCCCTCATAACATGCCAATATTTTTACCTGTCATCATTCTATCTTCTCAGTATCTAATCTAAGCTTTTGGAGGTCTCTTCAGGCCCCAATCAAACTTTCCTTTCCTTTCCTTTATATTCAGCAAAATATCTAATTTCATGCCTCCCTGAGAAAAATGAGATTAAAAAGCTTGACCTTCTTCCAGTTACTGACTTCGACATGCACATTTACCTAGATGTGTTTTCATCAGGTTTGCTCCCAACATCAGAGACTTTCTCCCTACAGTCCCTGCTGTTCAAAAATAATAGGTTAGGTTATGAAGTATGAAGTGTCCGATTTCCTTAAGTACTAAGTTTGACATTTCGCTTTGACACTTCTTGTTTTATTTTTATTGTGAAGGTACATCCTCAGTCTTTAAAATGTGTGTTTCAGTTTAGGATTATCTTTCACATTTTTAAGAGCAGTTTTTGTGAAACCATGGATACGTCAAAAATTTGTGTTATTTTCAAATATGAGTTCTGTCATGGAGACAATGCAATGCAGACAGCTTGAAATATCAATGAAGTGTTTGAGAAGGATGTAGCTGATGAACGCACAGTATCTTGATGGTTTGAAAAGTTCTAGCCTGGTGATTTTAATCTTGAAAATGAGCCATGTGGGTGACCTGAGACCAAGTGGA